TATATATATAAGCTGAACACGTCTCAGGCGAGTAAGAACCGCAGTCTTACGATGATAAACCCATACAATATCTGCTCCGCATCAATCTTCTCGTTTTAGTTTAACCATACACCGTAAACAACCCTGAAACCCTACAACCCTATTGTTATCCCAACAGATCCTCCTCCGCATCAATCTGATTATGGCCAACATTGTCGTCTGCATCACCCTGGCCATAATGATTCTGCAAGTGGAATGGCATGATCGAGAAGTAGTATGTGCGTAAACCAACCCTAGAAACCCTAAAACCCAACCCCCAAAACTGATAATCAATGCATTCATGGCCCATATAGTGATGGCTTTGCCCAAGCTATAGCGATATACTCGCAACACGTGCGCTCTCCATTGTAAACTCCAAAACCCTAAAACCCTAAACACTGTGTGAACAGTACGTCCATCAGAATCACCCCCCACCCCTACTGTACAAATACATCGTGGCACTGACTATTGATGGTTGATATCACTCTATGTAACACACTCGTTCTGTGTTTACTGTACAAGCACATAGAGGCACTGGCTGTTGATGGCTGATATCAATCTATGTAACACACTCGTTCTGTGTTTACTGTACAAGCACTTAGAGGCACTGACTGTTGATGGTTGATATCACTCTATGTAACACACTCGTTCTGTGTTTGAGCCCTTGCGATTAGTTATGTATGCGTGGAGCATTACTTCGGCCACGAATGTCTATCAACTACTGTGGAATTTATTACTACTACGATGTTTGTTGATAAAGTGTTTTGTTATACTCATTCGTTGTGACAATTGGACCCTGCCAACACTTCATATTATATATATATATATATATATATTTATGTATTAAAACCCATATATTATCTTCTTTGTCTGTATCGACAGTACTTCCGCGACGTTTCCATACCCGACAATTGTGCAGAGACGAGTCAATGCCTTTTCGACAGTTGGTACTCTACACATATGAAGATTGTGGTATGTACTCATGGAGAGATGCCTGTAGTGGTGTCTAGTTCAAAATATCGTACTCGAAAGTATTCGTGTATGTGTTTGAACAAATGGGTCATTTGTTTGCTATTCGTGGGGCTATATTTGGGTTTACCAACGAAGGTCAAGATTTTGTCAACACAACACAAATCCGTTCGATGTATTCTTTCTAACGCATGACTTTGTTCGAAACTCTGATATTAATGTAGGTGCCCATCTATGCAACTGCACGTGTATGTATTTGATTAAACATGTATGTATATGCTTGGACATATAATTGATTTGTTGCATCTATTGAAGATATATATATATTATTATATTATTATATATATATAATTATATTATTATATATATATTATTATATTATTATATTATTATATTATTATATTATTATATTATTATATTATTATATATATAAGCCTCTACTTTCTCTGATCGTGCTTTATGCCACACAGGTGTCCATCTTGACCATAGTCAATGAACTTCAGTTTTCTGAGCTTCTGCGCAAACGTGTACACAACCGTATCGAGTACGAACGAGACAAACAGATCATGCAGGAGAAGATGCGTTGGAAAAGCAAACGCATTACACAGGTAAGCTTAAATGTATATATGTATATATATATATATATATATGCATGTATATGAATATATATAATAATATACATATATATATATATATGTGTGTGTGTGTGTTTGTGTGTGTATGTATATATATATATATGTATATATATATATATATATTATATATATATT